CGTGCTCCTAATTCAGTTCTTTTTCAATTCGCAACACAGATGGTGCGAATAAATCTACTTTAAGAGGTTGGTGCGTTACTCCACTTTATATAAAGCCGTCCATCTCGGATTCCACCGAGAATGCTTTCTCAGCAAGAGGTTCCAAAGTGAAAAGTGGCTTCTTCATAGAGACTGTCGAGGGGATTTCCTAGAAAAAGCATAGCATCTGACGCACAATGAATTAGAAACATCTTGAAATACTAGTCTACTAGAAATTGAGTCAAGATTGGATGCGAACTAGACGACATGCTATTTGCGTTCATGAAGACCTATTTACTAAGTATTGTAAAGATATTACCTTGACAACTTTCCGGTTCTCGTGATCTGGCCCAATTTCAAAGCTAAATGTCCGAAATCCTTCTATTGGCGAAGTGCATCGCGTGAATCTAGATAGACATCATTTGATAAATGTTTTTTGTATCACCTGAGAATTAATTAATTGACAAATCGACCAATTAACTCTTATCAGTAAAGCAAAGTTTTTGAAGAATTTTCTTCAGTTTACTTTTGACATATTAATAGAGAAACTTTGATTGCTTATGAGTCTTTAGTTCCAGCCAGCTCTAATTTCTATCTTTTAATTACCGGAATGCGGTCTATTTCGTTGTCATTGACGTTGCAAAGAATCATGCTAGTTGATAGTATTGAAAGATTATAAATTTATTGCTGTTGAACTAGATATTTCTCATAAAACAGAGTCTTTTTCATTCATTCATACTCCAGAAGGCTAGTGAATGAAACATTTGCTTCGGTGAGATTAGTAAAGCAAGACGTCTGGTTGCTAGTAATCTACCTACCTTAACCTTCTTCCGGGAGGAATATAGATAATATCTCCTCGTGCAACGTTTCGACTATCCAGCGTCTGTAGATTGACGACGGATTGCGTCTGCAATAGGGTCATTTATGATACGCTCTCACGTCATTTGGGTGCAAATTATTGATGGCTGACTGCAGAATTTTCTCTTTTTTCAAAATTTTTAAACTATAGCTTGAAGGTGCAATGAAGAGCATGTAATAATAGGGACAGAATTGTAAAAGTTTGTTCCCCTTTTTTTAATTGCAAACTAGATGTATTGAACACTTAATGAATAAGTTCATACGGTCGCTTAAGAACCGAGCTAATTCATTTTTCTCACCTTTGACCGGCTACTGCTTGGCCCATCAACTTCCTCAAGGACAGCTGAACCGTCTACAATAACCATAATAGAAGCACAATTTAGTACAGGAAGAGATGCTTGTTGAGCAGTAGGTTGCACCTGGAAAGTAGATACTTATTTAGGTTATCCAACGAATTACTACCCTGCCGTTCTTCGGATAGTCTCAAACAGACCCGAATTCTGTGTAGTTGAAAATCTTTGCAATCGGGTGAGTATTCT